ATACCATTACTTTCACCATCCTACTACAGCCAGATCTGAAGGCCTTTGCCGCATTCTGGCCTTGCTGTGTGGCGCGTATCGCGTGGACGGGTTTCACGTTCTCTGCACGTAATGAGCTCGGTTATTAAGCATCCTTTTTTGGGGATGCCTGGTGGCCGAGGGGAAGACGTGTAGTGACGCGAGCGCCGGTTCGAGTCACGCACGCAGTACGTATTTACTATAATTAGACATAGTCTTTACCTTGCCGTTTATTTGGTGTTATTTGCTTACTATATTCAAACCTATGTTGTTTAGTTTATTAACCACAGTCTTCCTTTATTGAAAGTATGCTTAAAACAGTTTATAAACAACAATTTCCGTATTTTCTGAATTTGTACTGTTAATGAAGTTATGACCCAGTGAGCATTATCAGATAGAATATCAATAATAACGTTTACACACAATTGACACGCACAGAAACATACAGGGGAATGCAAGGACAGATTATGCCTATTTTTTTCAATATATATATATATATATATATATATATATATATATATATATATATATATATATATATATATATATATGTCATGTATCATATATCACACATATACACAACTATTTTCTTCAGGTAAAATGATTCAAAGGTATTTTTGTTTGAAATTGTTTCAGATGGCTTGTACAATTTAGTTTCTATGATTGGTTATATTCAGATGTTGCTGCATCCTCAGGTGAGTTTTTTTTTACTTAGTATAATGTCTGCTGCCATGGATAGCCAAAGAGATATGAAAAAAAAAATATCCTCTGGGCTGCACATATTATCTGAACTGTTGTAATGTCATGTAGATGTGCTGCATATCATTACCTGATTTCAACTGCTGTAATGTCATGTAGTCATGCTGCATATCAATACCTGATTTTAACTGTTGTAATGTCATGTAGATATGCTGCATATCATTACCTGATTTTAACTGTTGTAGTGTCATGTAAACACGCTGCATATCATTACTTGATTTTAACTGTTGTAATGTCATGTGGTCATGCTGCATATCATTACCTGATTTTAACTGTTGTAATGTCATGTGGTCATGCTGCATATCATTACCTGATTTTAACTGTTGTAGTGTCATGTAAACACGCTGCATATCATTACTTGATTTTAACTGTTGTAATGTCATGTGGTCATGCTTCATATCATTACCTGATTTTAACTGTTGTAATGTCATGTAGACATACTGCATATCATTACTTGATTTTAACTGTTGTAATGTCATGTGGTCATGCTGCATATCATTACCTGATTTTAACTGTTGTAATGTCATGTGGTCATGCTACATATCATAACCTGATTTCAGCTGTTGTAATGTCATGTAGATATGCTGCATATCATTACATGATTTTAACTGTTGTAATGTCATGTGGTCATGCTGCATATCATTACCTGATTTTAACTGTTGTAATGTCATGTAGATATGCTGCATATCATTACCTGATTTTAACTGTTGTAATGTCATGTAGACATGCTTCATATCATTACCTGATATTAACTGTGTAGTGTCATGTAAACATGCTGCATATCATTACTTGATTTTAACTGTTGTAATGTCATATGGACATGCTGCATATCATTACTGATATTAACTGTTGTAATGTCATGTAGACGTACTGCATATCATTACTTGATTTTAACTGTTGTAATGTCATGTAGACATGCTGCATATCATTACCTGATTTTAACTGTTGTAATGTCATGTAAACATGCTGCATATCATTACCTGATTTTAACTGTTGTAATGTCATGTAGACATGCTGCATATCATTACTTGATTTTAACTATTGTAATGTCATGTAGGCATGCTACTTATCATTACTTGATTTTAACTATTGTAATGTCATGTAGACATGCTGCATATCATTACCTGATTTTAACTGTTGTAATGTCATGTAGATATGCTACATATCATTACCTGATTTTAACTGTTGTAATGTCATGTAAACATGCTACATATCATTACCTGATATTAACTGTTGTAGTGTCATGTAAACACGCTGCATATCATTACTTGATTTTAACTGTTGTAATGTCATGTAGACATGCTTCCTATCATTACCTGATTTTAACTGTTGTAATGCCATGTAGACAAGCTGCATGTCATTACTTGATTTTAACTGTTGTAATGTCATGTAGACATGCTTCATATCATTACCTGATTTCAGCTGTTGTAATGTCATGTAGACATGCTTCATATCATTACCTGATTTCAGCTGTTGTAATGTCATGTAGACATGCTACATATCATAACCTGATTGTAACTGTTGTCGTATACATATAACAAGGTCCTGGTAACAAACAGTATCTAATTGTGGTTCCACACCTATCACGCAAACAACACTGCGATACCGCAGCACCCTGAAGGTTGAACCCAGTCGTTAAATTGTCAATTCAAGTTACTCATGTTTTAATATTATAGTGAAATGAATTAATGTTCAAAAAAGCGATAATCATGGTAAAAAGCTGTTTATTTCACAGTAAATATTGTTCTGAGAATAATGTTGCCCTCTTGTATGCATCTAAGATGATTGTCTTGTTACCGATATATAAAGGAAGTGACCCTATACAAGATTGTAAGGCTAACCAAAGGCAATGGAACAAATGTGAATGTGCTGAATGTAATAATAATAATTATCTTTATTGCTCTTGTATCCCTATTAGGATTTTGACTACAATGCAATACAGATGTGAACAAGATATGAATGTCACAGTCCCCACAATTAAATTATAAAATACTCTTGCTAAAATACTACATGGAACATCTGTAAACAATTGAATTTATATGTATTCTACTTTCATTTTGTAGAAATGTATTTCCTAGTCATGCTTCATTCGTTACCTGGTTGTAATAGTTGTAATGGAATTTCTTATGTTTTCTCTCACAGTTCATAAGTACTACTATACTCCATGTGATAAAGAATATACTTTTTTCCATTCTGTTCCTAATGTGGATACTTCCAGTTTGGGTGTACAAGATTGTGGGTTGTGTGAACAGTAAGTACTATGGAATAACACATTTAGGAATAGTAGGTAATAGGTATATCAACACACTGGGATACATTGGGCCATTCCAGTGTATATCTGCACCCCCCTGTTGATGAGCTTGTGTGTTTACTTCATACAGGGTGTAATTTCCATGGGTGTACAAGTCATACAAAGTTTTATTTCCAAATCACCATTCACCATACAGTAATGGAAATCCAAAACTATAGTTCCTACTTATGGTGTTGATGAGTTCCATTGTGCCACCATACAGAGTAGGATTTCCAACTATAACTCTCATCATATGCTAATTTACCAAGTTCAAAATTTTATATTTGATAATGGAAATCCAAACTAGTCCTGATTCACGGTGTTGATGAGCTCATTCATGCCACCATCCTTATCTAATTTCAGTAATAACTATTTCATACTGGCCCATTTTTTTACCATATACAGTCAGAATTCCAAGTTTTTTTTTAGTCATACTGTTGGAAATCCAACCTCATCAACCGGTATGTGGCGAGATAAACTAGGCCATATTTTATTTAGTAGCCATAACTGCCTGGATTTTTAGGAATTTTTTTTCCACACTCGTCTGGATTTCCAGATTCTGTTTCTCCATATACAGTTGGAATTCCGGGGTATTTTTCCCATCATACAGTGCTGGAAATCCAACCACATCAAGAGGGGGATGCAGATATAAACCGGAATGGCTCATTAGGGGGTAGGGGGTACAATATTGGATATTGGCTATATCAACACAGTAGGACACATTAGGAGATACTAGGTATATCAGTGCACAGTGGTACATTAAGGGGTATTTGTAAATTCAACACACTGGTACACATTAGGGGATAGTAGGTATATCATTGCACAGTGATACATTAAGGGTATTGGGTATATCAACACACTGGGACACATTATAGGGGTACTAGGTATATCATTCTACAGTGATACATTAAAGGGTATTGGGTATATCAACACACTGGGACACATTAGGGGGTACTAGGTATCTCAGTGCACAGTGATACATTAAAGGGTATTGGGTATATCAACACACTAGGATGCATTAATGGGGTATGAGGTATATCATTGCACAGTGATACATTATAGGGTACTGGGTATATCAACACACTGGGACACATTAAGGGGGTACTAGGTATATCATTCCACAGTGATACATTAAAGGGTATTGGGTATATCAACACACTAGGATGCATTAATGGGGTACGTAGGTATATCATTCCACAGTGATACATTAACGGTTATTGGGTATATCAACACACTAGGACACATTAAGGGGGTACTAGGTATATCATTCTACAGTGATGCATTAAAAGGTATAGGGTATATCAACACACTAGGATGCATTAAGGGGTACTAGGTATATCATTCCACAGTGATACATTAAAGGGTATTGGGTATATCAACACACTAGGACACATTAAGGGGGTACTAGGTATATCATTCCACAGTGATACATTAAAGGGTATTGGGTATATCAACACACTGGGACACATTAATAGGGTACTAGGTATATCATTGCACAGTGATACATCAAAGGGTATTGGGTATATCAACACACTGGGACACATTAGGAGGTACTAGGTATATCAGTGCACAGTGATACATTAACGGTTAATGGGTATATCAACACACTGGGACACATTAAGGGGGTACTAGGTATATCATTCCACAGTGATACATTAAAGGGTATTGGGTATATCAACACACTGGGACACATTAAGGGGGTACTATGTATATCATTGCACAGTGATACATCAAAGGGTATTGGGTATATCAACACGCTGGGACACATTAAGGGGGTACTATGTATATCATTGCACAGTGATACATCAAAGGGTATTTGGTATATCAACACACTGGGACACATTAAGGGGGTACTAGGTATATCATTCCACAGTGATACATTAAAGGGTATTCTTAAATCAACACACTGGGAAACATCAGGGGGTACTAGGTATCTCAGTGCACAGTGGTACATTTAGGGGTATTGGGTATATCAACACACTAGGACACATTATTGGAGTACAGGGTATATCATTACACAGTGATACATTAAAGGGTATTGGATCAATCAACACACTATGATACATTAATAGGGTACTAGGTATATCATTGTACAGTGACACATTAAAGAGTGTTGGGTATATCAACCCACTGGGACAAATTAGGAAGTACTAGGTATATCATTGCACAGTGATACATTAAAGGGTATTGGGTATATCGACATACTAGGACACATTAGGAAGTACAAGGTATATCAGTACACAGTGATACATTACTGGATAGTGGGAATATCAACACACTAGGACACATTAAAATGGGGTACAAGGTATTTTATTACACAGTGATACATTACGGGATATTGGGTATATCACCATACCAGGACACATTAATGGTACAAGGTATATAATTACACAGTGATACATTAGATGGTATTGGGTATATCATCATACTGGGACACATTAAGGGGGTACTAAGTATATTATTGCACAGTGATATATTAAAGGGTATTGGGTATATCAACACACTAGGATACATTAATGGAATACAAGGTTTATCATTGCACAGTGATACATTAAAGGGTATTGGGTATATCAAAACACTAGGACACATTATTGGAGTACAAGTTATATCATTGCACAGTGATACATTAAGGGGCATTGGGTCAATCAACACACTAGGATACATTAATAGGGTACTAGGTATATCATTGCACAGTGATACATCAAAGGGTATTGGGTATATCAACACACTGGGCCACATTAGAAGGTACTAGGTATATCATTGCACAGTGATACATGAAAGGGTATTTGGTATATCAACACACTAGGACACATTAATGGGTACAAGGTATATCATTGCACAGTGATACATCAAAGGGTATTGGGTATGTCAACACCCTGGGAAACATTAAGGGGGTATGAGGTATAGCATTAAAGTGATACATTAAAGGATTTTGGGTATATCAACACACTGGGACACATTAAGGGGGTACTGATTGTATCAATTAACTTGAGCAGAGGCTAATTGAGATATCACTGTACCGGCACAGTTTATGTTAGGTTTCTTCCCAGTTTTGAAATGAATATTTTTTTTTCCAGATCATTTGCATACCAAAGTTTGCCATTCAGTAATTTGGTTTTACTTGTGATAGATGTAACTAATTGTGATTGTATCTCCAATACAACATCATTTGAACCCAAGAAAAAGGTTTACAATGATACTGATTTATGGCAAAGGTTACGTGCACAGAGTCATCGTAAAAGACCATTGTCTTGTCATTCTATATCTGAATATGTAAGTGTTAATGAGAGTGTTATGTAATATCAATAGTTCATCTGCAAAACATTACTTTAAAAACTGATGTTTATCAAACCCTTACTTTATACGTCATTAGTTATCACATGCTTACTTTATACATCATTAGTTATCACTCGCTTACTTTATATATCATTAGTTATCAAACCCTTACTTTATATGTCATTGGTTATCAAACCCTTACTTTATACATTATTAGTTATCACACCTTTACTTTATACATTATTAGTTATCACACCTTTACTTTATACATTATTGGTTATCAAACGCTTACTTTATACGTAATTGGTTATCACACCCTTACTTTATATGTCATTGGTTATCAAACCCTTACTTTATACACCATTGGTTATCACACCCTTACTTTATATGTCATTGGTTATCAAACCCTTACTATATACGTCATTAGTTATCACACCCTTACTTTATACATCATTAGTTATCACACCTTTACTTTATACATTATTAGTTATCACACCTTTACTTTATACATCATTGGTTTTCACACCTTTACTTTATACATTATTAGTTATCACACCTTTACTTTATACATCATTGGTTATCACACCCTTACTTTATATGTCATTGGTTATCACACCTTTACTTTATACGTCATTAGTTATGACACCCTTACTTCATACACCATTGGTTATCACACGCTAACTTTATATGTCATTGGTTATCACACCCTTACTTTATACGTCATTAGTTGTCTATGCTTACTTTATATGTCATTGATTATCACATCCTTACTTTGTACATCATTAGTTATCACACCTTTACTTTATACATTATTGGTTATCACACCCTTACTTTATACATCATTGGTTATCACACCTTTACTTTATACATTATTAGTTATCACACCTTTACTTTATACATCATTAGTTATCACACCTTTACTTTATAAATTATTGGTTATCACACCCTTACTTTATACATCATTGGCTTTCACACCTTTACTTTATACATTATTAGTTATCATACCTTTACTTTATACATTATTGGTTATCAAACCCTTACTTTATACATCATTGGTTATCACACCTTTACTTTATACATCATTAGTTATCACACCTTTACTTTACACATTATTGGTTATCAAACCCTTACTATATATATATCATTTGTTATCACACCCTTACTTTATACGTAATTGGTCATCACACCCTTACTTTATATGTCATTGGTTATCACACCCTTACTTTATACGTCATTAGTTATCACACCCTTACTTCATACATCATTGGTTATCACACACTAACTTTATATGTCATTGGTTATCACACCCTTACTTCATACATCATTGGTTATCACACACTAACTTTATATGTCATTGGTTATCACACCCTTACTTTATACGTCATTAGTTATCACACCCTTACTTTATATGTCATTGGTTATCACACCTTACTTCATACACCATTGGTTATCACACACTAACTTTATATGTCATTGGTTATCACACCCTTACTTTATACGTAATTGGTCATCACACCCTTACTTTATATGTCATTGGTTATCACACCCTTACTTTATACGTCATTAGTTATCACACCCTTACTTCATACATTATTGGTTATCACACCCTTACTTTATACATCATTGGTTATCACACGCTAACTTTATATGTCATTGGTTATCAAACCCTTACTTTATACGTCATTAATTATCACATCCTTACTTTATAAATCATTAGTTATCACACCTTTACTTTATACATTATTGGTTATCACACCCTTACTTTATACATCATTGGTTTTCACACCTTTACTTTATACATTATTAGTTATCAGACCTTTACTTTATACATTATTGGTTATCAAACCCTTACTTTATATGTCATTGGTTATCAAACCCTTACTATATACGTCATTAGTTATCACACCCTTTCTTTATAAATCATTAGTTATCACACCTTTACTTTATACATTATTGGTTATCACACCCTTACTTCATACACCATTGGTTATCACACGCTAACTTTATATGTCATTGGTTATCACACCTTTACTTTATACATTATTAGTTATCACACCCTTACTTTATATATCA